TTCCAGGTAAAAGACACGTGAACACCCAAAGAGAGCCAGGAGCACTGATTGTTCTCAGAGAGCCAAGGCTCGGGCAGCAGATAAAGCCTCACTTGAGGACTGTCCGGAGCCAAACAACTACCCTGGGGGAGACAAGGGCTCTACAACAGCTTTGCTGGACTGGGGAGCACAGAACCACCAGGACAGCCCTGCAACAGCTGGAACACATGGGAAGAGAACAGCTAATTCACAGAAAGTCCAACGACATCACCAGTATTCACAAACAGAGCTAGCAAGAGTCATAACAGGGTTTTGGCAATACTTTGAAAGGCCAGAATGGAAAAGGCCCCAGTGACTTCCCAGTCGTGTAACAGAAGGCACTGAGGTGCTGTTTCCTGTGGCACAGCAGAGGGGTTCGACAGGCAGCCGCAAGGCTCCCGCGCTGGCAGCTGTGCCACATGCCTGACCAAAGGCCATCCACATAAGGCACTGAGCACAGACTTGGCCCAGAGTAAAGCAGGGAGAGGATGTTACTGTGAAATGCACTGGGAGAGTTTTCCCTTTTGTAAGTGTGCAGAACCTGAGGATGTGCAGGGTTGTGTGTCATTTGAGCACGCTGCTCTGTCATCAAGGTGAGGTCCAGTTTCCCAGAGGAACAGGTCCAGACTTTCCATTTCAGCAATTTAGACAGTCCTTCTGTTGTCAGACCTGGTAAAGCAGCATTAAACACTGTTGGATTTAATCTAAATTAGCACGACAGGGCAGGTTGAAAGGAGAAGCAGCAAGATTTTGGATTCAGAAAGGTAAAAAGCTGTGCTTGCGAGCTCCATCAGCCCATGTTTATGAAGTTCAAGAGATGAACTGCCAAGGATCTGTAAGAGGGCTCCAGCACTCCTCTGAGGTCAAAGGGAACAGGGTTGTTGCAATATTTAGCCAGGGTAAGACCCCCCGAGGCTGTGCCTACATGTTTCTAAGGAACTCTGGACTGAGTCCAAGAACCTGAACTACAAGCTGCACCAACAGACAGGAGCCTTGCTGGAGGACAGAGCAGGTCAAGGAAGGAGATACATTCCTGCCCTGTACGGGAGCCTCAGCCCTGCGTGGTGCGGGCTCTCTCGGGCAGCAGAAGGGCTCTGTGCCCAGTGGGCACCTGCTCTCCTTGGGCCCTGGGCCCTCCCTGGGGGCTGGTTAAGCACGACTCCTAGTTGCAAGGTTTCGCTCCTGGAGCCTGAGCTCTTTCATGATGGGAAGGTCTTCTTGGTGCCCTTGGGTTTACCTTTTCAAATCCAAAACAAAGCTCAAAAGCCTGCAGCACCTACAATCCATGACAAAGCCTCAAAGCAAGCACAAACAGCAGCAGAGTTGGCCAGGGCTGCAAGCAGGGCCCAGTGGGAAGGACAGCACCACCATGGAGTTCACAGAACTGGGCTTGTGTCTCTGCACAGCTCCATTTCCAAACGCACAGAACCAAAGTTCTGGTACAGGAGGAGCACCCTAAACCCTCTGTGCTGGAAGAGATCCCAAGGGTGCCAAGACCCAGGTTCAGGCAGAGTCAAGCCCTACTGCAGCACTGAACTCCAAGCTGGTGTGAATGGACATGTAACGAGTGACCTAGGGCAGAATGGAAAGCACAGTTTAAACTGCTCAGGATGCTCAAAGCAAGAGGCTTGACACATAGCTGGGCCATTTACCATCCAACTGCTAACCTGGCACCAGCTTTCCTGAGCAGTGTGCCACAGGGAGAGCCAGCCCAGGCTGCTGAGCAGCTGGCCCACAGGACTGGCTCTTGAAAGTTACTTCCCAAGCTTCAACAGCTCCCCAGCACACTGGGCACAGCACAAAGCACTAACAGGGGCTTATTTTGTTCCCATCTTGATGAAGTCTGATTCAGCACTGCAGCCCTTAGAAATACAAACACGAGGATGAAGTTTAGCCTGAACAATACCAACTTGGAGCCAAACATAATAAAGCACAGAGCCAACATCAATTGTTCCAGCCATTTGAGACACAGTTGAGTCCTTACGGTCTCTAAGAATCAGATACAGTTCAGTTTGGAAACTGCAAATGGACAAGATCAAGTTACCTAGCTGAAACTTTTCTTCTGTATTCAGACCCAGCTCAGCCCACCCTGTCAGGGTATTTGCTGACTGCACAGAGAAGTGACTGAAAATGAAGTGCAATATGCCATAGACTCCAGATGGCCATTTACAAGGCAAAGATGACATGAGCTGCTACTATCTGACTGTATTAGTGGCCTATAAAAGCAGAGGGGAAAGAGCAGGGTTAGTGTGAACAGAAGAGAATCCCCTGCTAGAAATAAACTAGGCCAGCTGTGCTTTTCCTTTGGCCGTGGAGGAACCATCACACATTTGGCCAATTCTCTGCTGAACAGGCTTCCCAAAGGTGACAGCGCAAACGCTTCATCAGGGCTCAGTTTCTGCAGAGATATTTGGCAATTGCTACAGTATGCTGTGCCTTGACTATACAGTTACAGGCTGTGCAGTTGTTTATCACCAACTGCCTTGAAGCTTCAGCTGCACTACCAAAGAAAAATAAGCTTTGTTTGGAAATTCAGTAGAGAAACAAGTGATTAGAAAACTGTAGGAAATAAACAGGCTTCAAAAGCAACAGCAGGAGGCATATCTGGCAAAGGGTCAGTCACAACAAGAGCATGCAAACCTCATCTGAATGATAACCACGATGTTCTTGTACTGGTGAAGATGGAAGCTACTGATCTGTCCATTTCCAAGTCCCAAAGAGAGCAGGGAGTTAAACCATGAATTCATACTCTGCACACATCTCTTCTCCTTAGTTCTCTTCTTTCTTGGATTCTTCCTTAGGTGCTTCAGGAACCAGAATAACTTTTCCAACATTCTTCTTTTCTTGCATCTGCCTCATGGCCTCTGCCACCTGGAAGCAAAAGGGATCTGGTGAGATCCCCACCCACTCTGCAGTGTGTCCGTGCCCTTCCTGGGCCCCTCAGTCCACTCAGACCAGTTACAGGGACACCCAGGCAGCTTTCCTGGCTGATCAAGCAAGTTCCAAGTGTTTGGGCACCTCTCCATGGGCATGTTTGGGACAGCTGGACAACTACCACAAGAATTCACACAGACCAATCCTAGCACACACAGGGATGCTCTGCTATGCACACATAGAAGTGCAGTCACCACAGCTTCCTCTCCAAAGGGAGGGGTGTGCTGCAGTCATCTGCCAGGGGGTCAAAGCCTCTTTCAGCTACACAGAACAATATATGCACCATTATTTTTAAGCAGTACAGCACCTGGGCCAGGACTGGAATCAAAGTTTTCCTTAAGCCTTTGCATCAGACTAGTTCTCAGGTACAAACACTGACTGATCATCACTAAGTTCTTCGCCCCCCTGCAGCAAGTCCTGCCCCAGCAAAGGTCTTCCAAGGGAAGAGACTGACTCTGCCTGGACACATAACTGCAACACCCCTGAGCTGCTGAAAAACCTTCTGCTTCCTTCCAACACCCTCAATTTCACTCTTGGAAGGGCAGCAACAACCTTGCCATCTGTCTGCTTAATTAGAGTGCATACTCAGGGCAGACTCCAGTCTGATGTATAACCCAACCCCTTCCTGGCTGCTGCTGCCCATGCAGCACAGCTGAGCCCTGAGCCCTGCTCCACAGGGACACTGTCTGGCATTGCCCAGCTCTGTGCACTGGAGCCGAAGAGCCCAGCCACTTTATTCATCCTTAATATCTTAAAAGGACAAAGACACAGAATGTCTGAGAACAGATGGTTACTAAACATTTCCAAGAGTTCAGCCCCCGTGAACAAGGTGCTCACGCTGAACCACTGCCAGCCTATATGTTAGCTCAGACTCACCTGATCAAAGGGCCATACAGAGTCTATTTTGGGCTTGATTTTGCCTTGACTGTACAGGTTAACCAGTTTGGCTACAACACTTCTGAGAAGCTCAACTTCTTCATCCATATATCCAAGGTGGTAGCCACACACAGCCTTGTTTTGGTGTAGGAGCTGCAAGGCACTGATGCTGAACTGGTTCCACCAGGTTTTAGCCATAGCCATGAGGTTCTTCTTCTGTCCAGTGAGCAGGTTTGCTACTCCTAAAAAGAAGGCAAGCCACAGATGAGCTGGAACACAACACGAGAGGCAGCAGGCATCCCATGCAACAGCTCAGACAATGCAGGGGAACTGCCTTCTTAGCACAGCGATGGACAGAGCCAAGAACCGGATCACATCAGCATCCACCCTGTTGACCTTCAGTGGAAACACACACCTGCCTCAGCCTCAAGATGTGCAGAACTGGGATTATCTACACTCATATATATTGCAAAAATACAGAACTACTCTCTTTGGCCCTCCTAAGATAGCAGCAGTACAGCTAATCTGGAGTGCTGGCAGAGGCAAGAATGGGTTACAAGTGACATCCAGCCAGGCTGGCAGGATGGCTCTCCTCTTCTCCTCCAACCCTGCTTCTTCAGGGGAGTCACACGCTGCAACTGCTGGGACAACAGATGCAGCACACTGGTGCAAGTGTCTGGAATCCCACTGGGGGTTGTGTGAGGGCTTTGTCCACAGGACAAAATCACAGTGTTCCAGGGCTGGGGAATGGAGAGATTAAGTATTCAGTAGCCTCAAACCTCATCACCCACACATCCTCTAGAAGAAAGCAAGGCTGTGCATTAACTCAGCCTAGACAAAGCAGCTGTGCCAGTGCTCCTCTATGAGGACATTCCAGCTTCCCCTGCAGGCAGTGCCTTGTATTCAAAGAGACACCTCACCATGGGAGGGAAGAGCCTAGGAGTCTGTGACCAGAACTCTGGGGACAAACTACAAGTCTCACTCCTCTCAGTGCCTCACCCAGGTGAAGCATCCTGAAGACCTTCATGAAATAACAGAACTACAATCACAAATAGTGATGGTCCCTGACCACCAAGTGCCCAAGCATAGAGCAGCATGGAGCATTCCCAGGCAGATCCCACCCTGCCACCACATAGTCCCCTCGGTGCTGGGCTTAGGCACACTGCCCACACGCACCGTAAGTGATGAGTTTGCCCATTGGCTTCAACAGATGAAACGCTTTGGATGTATCAGATCCTCCCAGTGGGTCCAGGACAATGTCAACACCTAGAAAGGAAATTGGAAGTCACTAGAGGTTTCTTTGCACTTGAAAGAAATGTGGGACAGTTGCAGGGGTCCTCCACCACACCATACCTTTGGGAGAGATTTTCCGGACCTCCTCTGCATAATCCATCGTTCGGTAGTCAATGGGGTGAGTAACTCCACTTTCCTTGAGTGAATCATGCTTGGAGGCAGATGCTGTGCCAAAAATGGTGACATTTTCGACAGTCTTGCACAGCTGGATGGCAGCAGTTCCCACACCACCTGAAAACAAGCAGTGAGAAAGACTTAGAAGGAAACGGTCCCAGCAGCCAGAAAAGCCTCTGAATAGGCAAATAATCCCTGCTTTTACTGATTGCACAGCCCCAGAAGCCTGTGGAATAGATGCTTTGCCTGGGGAGGTTGATGCCTGGGACACACTGGGGAAAACTGACCCCAGCTGCTGGGCAACGGGGTGTGAAGCCTGCATCTCTTGGAAGTGATGCTTTGTCAGTCCAGACCCATTCTGATCACTTCCTCACCTGTGCCACCCATTCAGAAGCTGCATGGCGAGGCCAAGAGTCTCAGCACAGGCTGGCAAGAACTACTTACCTGCAGCCATGTGGATGAGGACACTCTGGTTGGGTCTCAGGTTTCCAAAGTCAAACAGGATCATGTAGGCAGTGATGTAGTTGACAAGAAGAGCAGCCGCTTCCTCGAAGCTCATCCCCTCAGGCATCGGGAAAGTTTGACTGACCGGCACATTCACAACTTCTTGCCAGAGCCCTGATCTCGCCAAGACCATGACCTTATCACCGACCTAAAATCAAAAGACAACGTGGTCTGAAAGAAGCCTCAGGCTTGCAGAAGCCATCACACCCTTGCTCTTGATATGCCAACAGCAGATGCACCCATGCTATTCTCTGTGCAGAGGTCTGAAAAGACTGCAGCACCCCTGAACTCAGGCAGGAACCTGCGCTCTGCTCATCAGGAGACAGCAGCATTGCACCTCTCACCACAGACCTGGGCACACACCAGGAACCTCAGCAGGACTGCAGGTACCCCAGGCTCTGCTTGTACCCAGGGTGCTGCCTGCCAGCTGACCCCCAACAAGGCGAGAGGGATGATGATCCTGTCCTGGCCTCCTTGCCCAAGCTGGGAGCAGTAGCCTGAACACCGTGGAATATTACTGCTGCCTCTTGCAAGGATCATCCTGCTATGAGGCTAGGAGCCCTGGGGCAACACTTAATAGCATCGAGCATGGAAAAAGATTGTCCAGCCTTAGGTAAACCTCCGAGGTCTAAGGT